TATTTTAGGGCATGTTTAGTGGATGAAGAGAGAACACTACCGTATTGGTCTGGTCTTCTATGCTTTAAGACGGCAGGTTTTACATGTTTTTGTACAACATACTCTTCAGCGATTTTCGATAAAGTAGGCATAAGAGAAATCGACCGTAGATCTTTATTAAATTCTTCGATGGTCTTATTCTTTTGGTAAAGGGATGACATTGGCCTTTTTCCATTTGGTAGGTAGAACTTGTTTTTGGAAAAACGATAATACTAATTAGAGGACAAATGAATAAATGATTATCGCTATAGAAGGTTCTTTTCTTTTTCTTTCCTCGACAAGGACCGAAAGTTGGAATGTTAAGTTTTTGCCGTATATATACATACATATATATATATATATATATATATATATATATATATATATATATATATATATATATATATATATATATATATATATATATATATATATATATATATATATTTAGTATAAATTTTGCATATCAACTGAGCTTTCGCGCGTTCTGATTGGCTAGTTGACTAGTAAATCTGTACCTGCGAACAGGCTCTTTGAATTGAATTAGAGCCTGCCGGTTTAGTCAATAAAAATACGTCTGTGCCCATCACTATTTATAGTGTTGTCAATCAAATGTAAAATACAATTACCAGATTAATACAGACACGCCTTATGTAATAGCCTGCGAATATATGTAAACAAAACGCAAATCTCGATTTCAACGCATGATTGTTTACAACAAGTCTGTAATGTCAAGTTGGAAAGAAACTCCAAAAACATTTATACGCAAAAAAGCGCTGAACATGTGAACGAATTTTGCCGTTGTTGCAATGCTTCTTTAAAAGTAACATATGGAGATACATGGAAGTCCGTTTCAATAGTGAACTTGCTCAAGCCAACAGTAGGCGGCAAGATAGTTTTGAAGTTCTTTTGCAACATATCGGGATTGTTTGAGAGAGGTCCAGAATGGTCTGAAAGATTATGCGGGACATGCATTTTGAATTTGTATTTTACTTTCTCCAGTCCACGTTTCAATGACGTGAGACTCGTTTATAACAAAAGCAACCAAACGATTACGCAAATTACAACTTGAATATTTTAAAGCGTCAACTGAACACTTGTCAAGAACGTCTTCGGCCGATCCAAATATCAAATGAAATTTATATATATATATATATATATATATATATATATATATATATATATATATATATATATATATATATATATATATATATATATATATATATATATATATATATATATATATATATAGTTATCCCCGAGCCGACGGCGCGAAGCGCCGTGCGAGGGTACTAATTCCCCCCCGGCTATTTACACCCGGGGAAACGAAAGCATTAGCGAAGTCTAAAGTTCATCAAATATCGCGGGCGTGGGTCACCAACGGTGTTGGGTGGGTGGTCATCCTCACTGATCTCAAAAATATGGCGGACTGTCATGAATAGCGGACACTGATTGGTCCAATTTAAAGTTTGCATTATAACGACTGCATGCCGACAGCGAAATAGCAAACATTTCTTGATTTGATGATTGATAAATTTCTTGCAAATATATTTCATTTTTGCTCGCATTTTGGCAAGATTTTGTAAATTTCAAAAGGTTTCTCAGAAAGAAAGGGCGAAAGAATCGGCTAAAAGAAGGGAGCCGACGTTAACGAAGGTAAGTTTGTTTTAAATATTGATTTTATAATGACTTTAAAACCCGACGGCCTTTGCGTATATGAAACAACTATTACAAGACAGCATATAATTTCAGTGTATCTTTAATAATATTGATTCCTTTTTTTATTATA